ACCTTACGACTAAGACTGGTGAACAAATTAATAGCAATATTTATACAAAATTAAATAATGATCCCTATGAGGATATAAAAAAACAAATAACAAAATTAATTAAAAAAAGTTATACTAATAACAATATAAGTAATACAGATAAAAATTTTATTCTGGATCCTAAAAATAATAGAACCCCAAAACTTAATATTAGATTAAAAACACATAAAATAGAAGAAAAGTTTAGACCTATTGTAGACTTTAAATTTTCCATTTTGTATAATCTAGAGCAGTGTTTCTCAACGGGGGCGATATCGCCCCCATGTGGGCGTTTTTTCATGTTGAGGGGGCGATTAGTAACAATTTATATTTTGGGGGGGTGAAAAACAATTTTCTGGGCGATATAGTAAAACATTATATTAAGATTAATTAAATATTTTATTCGTTACATCGTACAATAATTAAACAAATAACATTACACTACTCACTAGTCTATTCAATGCAGTACGAATTTGGCGTTAGCCCTGGCCCACGGCATCGGAATTTTGAAGTGAAGGGGGAGATACTACGTAACGGTTTTATTGAAGGAGGCGATGATTCGTTAGAGGTTGAGAAACACTGATCTAGAGGAATATATAAAACAACAATTATAATCTATAGTATAAAAAATGCTGATACTGTTATTAATAAATTATTGAAATTAAATAAGGAGAATTCAGATTGCTTAATGAGCTTGATATAAAAAATATGTATCCTAGCATAACCTGGTTTATGATAGATAACAGTTTAAAAGACCTTGGTATCCAAAAAAATTTGACAGATTTAATAGAATTTGCTTACAAAAATAATTATTTTGAAGTTGATGGTATGTTTTATAGACAAAAAAATGGTATCAGTATGGGGTCAAAGATGGGGCCAAAATTAGCTGAATTAGTAATGATTGACATCGATAAAAAAATTATTAAAATTAGGGGTATAAAGACAATAATGAGGTATGTAGATGACTATTTAATAGTGTATAATAGAAATCTGATTAATAAAGAAACTATATATAATTTAATAAACAACATAGACAAGGTTATACAGTTTGATATTGAAGAAGAAGTTAATAAGAAAATTAATTATTTAGATATTACCATAGTGAATAATCCTAGAAAATTTGATTTTATAACTTATAAAAAATCTTGTAATGTAAGCAAAACTATTAATTACCATTCTTGTATTCCTGATTACATTAAAAAGAATGCATATATTGTCGAATTAAAAAACATATGTACTAGAATATCTGATAATTATAACATAAATATTAAACTAAAAGAATTAGATACCAAATTCCTTTTGAACGATTACCCAAACTTTATACTTAAAAAATGGAAAACATATTATTTAAAGAATAGATATAATACTAAGTTGAAAACTGATAAAATATATAAGAAGTTTCTATACATTAAAAATATCTTTGAAAAGTGCAGGAAAAGTATTAAGAATCATAATATTTGTTTGGCCCCATCTTTGACCAATAGTATTTCACAAAACATTTGTAAACATATTAATAATAATAGTAAAAATAATTTAGACCCTTTAAAAAAAGCTGGTGTGGTTTATAGAATTGAATGTGACTGTCATAATCCGTGTGTATATATAGGAGAAACCGGGCGTGTACTAGAAACTAGAGTTAAAGAACACGAAGCGGCCATTCGGCTTAAGTATAATAATTCTCCGTGGTTTAACCACATCAATAGTAATAATTGTAATATTAATAGAAACAATGTAAAAATTTTACATATTGAAAAAGATATTTATAAAAGAAAATTCAAAGAACATATAGAAATTAGAAAACAAAATAATAATAATTTAATAAATCAGTCGAAAGGGATGGAAATAAATTATAGCTGGTATAATCTGATAGATGGCGATAGAATAAAATAAATGGTTATGTATTATGACGTCATCACTTGATTACTGTTGTGAAGTGTTGATGGTATACTGATGCTAATGATGTTAAAATTTGTAGTACTTTGGAATTATCTATACAATTGTTTGTCAAAGAATTTTTTAATAATTGGTTGGTTTTAGTATGTTTATAATATACGTGTGTGGAAAGGTTTCTTAAACTTGTAAGTATAAGTATTGTTTAAGATATTACTTGTATTAGCCTTATATTGTTTTGTACAAAAAAGATAATTGTAATTTTTAGGATTTCTACAAATGTGTACAAAGTTTACCACCCCTACCCATGGAAATATCATTGTAATTACCACCAGCGATTATTGTAGGTTTTTTCTCCAAAATTTATAATTTTGGTGTAGATATACATCTATGTCATGTTTTAGTTAAACATTTTACGTTCTTTGTTATTGTTTTAGCACTGAAGACGGACTGGAAAATATTAGACCAGCCCGAAATGCATTTGATTTAGTCTTTACAAAATAAACTTAATTTGCCAATACGACTGCTGTGAGATTGGTGTACCAAGAATAATTTTGGATTACAGAGACTAAAATCGTCATATTAAAAAATACATATAGAACTTAGAAAATTTGAACTAATTGTTCATTAATTATTTTTGAGTGATCAATGTGTAGTATTGCAGTAGAGTTTTGCAAAATATAAAAAAATAAAATCATAAAACTTCTGAATAAGTTATATTGATGTGAAACCTAAAAAATTCCTCGCTACACGCATTCGATTCTGAGCCGAACGAATTCGTTGCCCTTCCAGTCTTTGCTGTAGAAGTGTAGATTCACGTTGTCTACAATTATGAACTGTTCCTTCCTATTCGTGCTGTTGCAGCTCTCCGCATTATTTATCAATCAATCTCAAAAATATTCACCAATAACTATTTCGAATATTTTGTACAATTACCTGCAGAAACGATTCGAAAACCCGCCATAAGTACATACGGCCATCTACCGTTATGGCGTCACTTTTTTAATTCCTCAAAGATTTTGCTAATTAACTAATTATAATTTAATGTCAGTTTTTCAAATATAATAGTAAACTTCAATAATAGATTTTCTTATAGACAGCGTGTGTCGCCATCTAGTGAAGAGACAGAGAGAAATAGACAGACAAAAATCCGTGGCAGTTTTATTTAATTAATAAAAAATCTGTAGGTTTGATTAATGGTAAACATTCCAGGGATCATAAAGATGCTACAGTTAAAGTTTGGTAACGATTGGTTCAGTAGTTTTCACGGTTAGTGGTCACAAACGAAAAATACGTTGTTTCTTTATATAGTAGTATAGATATAGATTCCTTCCAACGTTGCATGATTTGCCTACTTTGCGCCAAAGTTGGGTTCCCTTTTTTTAGTTTGGCGTAAAATATATCATTTGGCGCATAGGCTACTTTTTGCGCTACATATTATTTATAAATATATTAGTCGAATAAAAATGCACTTTAAAATGGTGTTTTGTCATTTTTTATTAGAGACCCAAATAAAACAAAATATTTGTGTTTTTCAAATAAATTTTTGTCTATCTTCTTTATACTGTAATAAATGAATTTATCTATTTCAAAGTAAAAATTGAAAGTGTCTGTAAAAGTAATTTTTTAAAATATCCTTTTTCCTGATAAAGATTTAATACTTATTACTATAATCTAGACTTGTTAATCCTTAAATATACTTGTATATTTAAGGATTAACATGTCTAGATTGGGCCACAAGTATATATAATATACTTGTGGCTCAAAACTCCATGAATTCTTCCAATGTGGCCCAGAAAAACAAAAAGGTTGGACACTCCTGATGTAAAGATTCAAGTGTGGTGGAATGGCATAGGCTGCGTTTCTTTATGCAGCGAAAGTGCAGCGTAAATGACGTCACAAGCAGCTATCGCTACACGTCACTGCATCATAGTTTAGAAACGCTTTCCGCTCGAGCGAAACACGGACGTCATAATGGCCGCGTTTCTTTACGCAGCGCTCGAGAAGCGCTTTACAGCGAACCCTCTGAAACCCGTTTCTAAATGCAGCGCTGCAATGTAACGAACCGTTTCTAAACGTTTGCTGCAAGAGGTCGCTGCAGCGAAGATAAAGCAGCTTTTACGTCCGCTACACGTGTAAAGCAAACGGGACATTCCAATTTTCAACGCTGATCTCAACATTCGTTCCTTTTTTCAACGTTGAGGTAGCGCTGTTGTCAGCGCTGACTCAACACACTCAGCACTCAACAGATATGTTGACTGCTACTTTCCAATGAATTGTGGGTAATTGGTAAGACATTTGAATGGAATCCATCTTGCTGAGAATGGAATTATGGGAACTAAGCACTTCGTACTTGAGTTGGAACATCGTTGATGACGTCAAATTGTTGACTTCAACACTCAACACTCGCGTTGAAAATTGGAATGTCCCGAAAATGGACGCTTGTGTGTATAATACGATATTATGCTGTATAAATAAAAAAGTCGAAGTGACTGTTGATAAAAATATTATGGAAAGATTAAGAAGGATTAAATTTTATGAAATGACTCTGAAAGTTATCTAAAGAATAAGAAAATACTATATTTTAAATATAATTATATATCTTTTATCTCTTTACTTTGTTCACATTTATGGAAAGATAAATGCTCGATTCTTTATATCTCTTTATTTAAATATTGTAGTTCTTTAACTAAAGCACTATTTTCGGCTGTAACTGGAATTAAAGGATAGATTATGACGTCCGTGTTTCGCTCGAGCGGAAAGCGTTTCTAAACTATGATGCAGCGACGTGTAGCGATAACTGCTCGTGACGTCATTTACGCTGCATAAAGAAACACAGCCAAACACGTTGGAAACTCGCACATCTAGCGATTTAGGTTCTCTTCACTTGAACAACTTGTTCACTATACATTTAGAATTCTTGCTTTGTTTGCCAATTACGAATTAATTAAAAAAATTTTGTATTATTTAATAAATTTGTTTTGTCAATATTGATCACAACGCCAATCTGTTTTTATTTTACAATTACTTTATGATGAGAGCCAACCGGCAGCCGAATGGTAAAACCTGTGGTAGTTGGTCGTCAGCTCGCACCTTGTCAACGGACTGGCCTTGTGGGGGTTTCCGGGTTTTCTTCACGTTTGTAACATCTAAATAGGAGCCAGTTTCCCATTAAAGATCTCTAGGGAGACGTTCATGCCATTGGTAGATCACCCATATATGTTGTCGTAAATGATTAAAATCTAAATCTTTATGATGAGACCAAATTAAATTCAAAGTATTGACACAAGACACCACTGTACTGTTCAAATAAATGTTATTTTGTTTTTTTTCATGATCATATATAAAAATTTCATTTTACACAGTACTAAAATATTTATTTTATATACAGTATAAAATCTTTTACCAAAAGTACATACTGTTTACTTCCTTACTACTGTATTATTTTAGATACACTTCAACTATATTCAGTCCAATTGAATAATCAATACCTGTATGCAGTTAAGTTGTATTATGAGCTTATTTCTCTGTATGAAATAGAAAATAAAAATTTTCAACTTTGTATCCGTAAAACCTTTCCACAGAAAGTCTGCTTTATTTTCTTTGACACCATATCCTTCACTGTAATGAAATGATTTATATTTTTAATGATCATTTTATTTTAGTATCAAATATAAATAAAAAATATATTACAGTTGTCCCTCTATAGTCCGACGTTTTTTAATCCGACATGCTCAGTAGTCCGATGCACCTCCCGTCAAGGTACCCATCCCCGTTACGTGTCTGCTTGCACAGAAACATGTTGTGATGTGAATCTCCCCATCCAATTCTTACTCGATGACACACATTTCATGTGTTTTATGTAAGCAGTTCTGTTCAAACAGTTGGAGTAGAGAATATTGTAAGTTACTACTAGCAAAACAATGCGAAATATGTAATTATTTTCGGTAATCCGGACACTTTTGGTAATCTGACACACCTTTGGTCCCATACCTGTTGGATTATCAAGGGACAACTGTATTGGCATAATATGTAGTAGCTATCTATGTGTATGTGTTATGTGTGTGTGTACTTGTATATATTGAAAAAACAAAATTGAAGAACTTTTATCACACTTTTATAGGGTATTTAAACATTATTGTAGGTTTACTCTGTAAAAGTGCAATAAAAGTTCTTCAATTTTGTGTTTTATTTATACTTTAAATGTGTTCTTATCTTATGGTAAATGTCTTGTTGATTTTAATAATGTATTTGAAGATTTGAAAGTCAGATGTGTATTTAATAATTTTATTGTTAAAATTGGGAATTTAATTGTACTTTTATTTTGTACAGTTTAATATGTAACAACTGTATAACAACTGAAGAGCGATGATATGAGTCCGAAATGCATTTTGTTAAAGATATTTAAAAAGAATAAAAAAGAGTTCTAACCAGGGCTGTGGAGTCATGTAAAAATCTACCGACTCCAACTCCGACTCTTCCATACCATCTGACTCCAACTCCGACTCTTCCATACCATCTGACTCCAACTCCTACCAGGGACGGGGCTTGTTACCGAAAGAGACATGGATATTCTGATGTCATCATGTGACCTCAGAATAAAAGATTCAATAAATAAAGTTCTAATAAAACAGAACGTAGAAACATTTTATTCAAAAGCCTCTAAGTAATGATACAGTCAATATATAAATATGTATTCGATAATTTTTACTTTTTTGGCTGTTATATATAACAAAGGGAAAGTGTAGCGCTCAGTCAAAAAATGTCATCTCCCAAATTTTTACATTTTTGGACTCAGGACACCTTAAAATTTCAAGATATGAAAAAGAATCAAGGTTTTTTTTTTATATGTGTGGATGTTAGACTGTATGAGGGGGCATGATTTTGTTCACCCTGTTTGAAGCCTAATAATTTCTGTGATCAGAATCGGAGTCAGATGGTTTAACACAGGAGTTAGTTATTAAGTGTCAAAGTGGTTGAACTAAATCATATACCCATACACATTCTAACATCTTAGGCGAGAACATCTTAACAGGTTTTACTCTACTATTATAAAATGACAAAAAAGCTTACTTTGAGGGTAGAGAAGTTCAGTTTATTTAATTTTTTTAAATTTTGAACAGTAATAACGTCTAAAATATTCATTAAGAGATATGACACGTGACTCCTTTTATATCTTCACCCTGTCAACCTTTAATTAAAAACAAAAATTTAATACTATTAATGCCCCTTTATATGCAAGCTACAGTGCCACATTTCGTTTCTTAAACTTTATCCATTCTGAGATATTGTTTAATATCTCAGAACAGAAAATAAAGAAATTAAACAAATTAGACACCAACACACACATGCACGCTAATTTTTCCCTTTTATTGACTTTTTTTTAGGGGTTCGGGAGGTCTCCAAACGTGTAGATTTGCAAAAAAATTTGGAGGGTCAAATTTGACACGATTCCATTTTATATACGTAACAAGTTGGAAAGTAAAAATCACCAAAACTCCACGACTCCTACTCCGAGTCCACAGCCTGGTTATAACATTCAGAAGTCATGAAAGTTTGAGAAGAAACATCTATTTAGATTGCTGAAATAATAATTTAATACAAATCCAAATGACAAGCTAAATGATGGATAGTTAAGTTAATTCTTCCACTTTTGCTGATCCTCTCATAATGTTTTTATTTTCTTGAGATCAACAGTTTATAAGTTCACTGCGAGGTTTGGTTGGTACTGGGCTTGGGATGATGTGATTGACAAGATGGATGAAAGGGATCACAGTTCTTGAAATATCAAACACTCCATTGCTCGGCAGTCTTAATTTTTCTTCTGAGTCCTTCAGTAATAAGGTTGGATTTTGGTTGATAGACTGATATAAGAGAATAGAAATATATCAATGATACACAGTTCAGGAAGAAGAGCAGTTTTAACATGAAAGGTTGGACAAGCATGGTTTTAGAAAAATGGTTAGAGAAGCATGTTATGATCCTGAGATGCAGGTTTATATAAATTTTAGTCATAAACCAAACAATTTAATTGGTTCTCAATCCTTCTCTTTTCTCCCCAATTGGTCACCTCTTTGTCTCCAGGTAGAATGAGACCCAACTGAGCCACAAAAAAACATTGCATCTTAATTTTAACCCAACACCACATCTTTGATCTCAGACAATGGGATGTTTAAACAAACTTTGGAACTTTTATTCATATTTCTAAAAGTTTTATTTTCTCTTTAGTCAAAAACTTCTATAAGACATCTTGTGATAATTATTTATTGATTGAAATATTTTATAGCACTCTGACTTTGTGTAATTTTGTCGTACAGTAGAGCCTCGATTATCCGACCCAATTGGGGACTGGGGTTGGTCAGATAATTGAAAAGTCGGATAACTGAAAAGTATGAAAAAATCCATTATTAGTGTAGTATATTATTATATCCCATGTAATTAGTACATCGCTATTAACCTACTTCGCGTTGAATTTTCATCGATGTTAAGCCTAACAAAAATTTTTTAAAATAATAATCGTCGCTATTATATCGTTAAAAATTAGAAAATTAAGCCTCGTTTAAATACTGGCTCCCTTTCATGGTCGAATGAGTGTTGCCAGCTAAAACACGTAAAAATAATATTAAAGTAGCTGAGACATAGCTAAATATTGTAGTGCCACATCACTAGCGGACATTTGAAATTTGCCGACTAGGACTGTTGGTTAATCGAGGTGGCAATTAATCGGGAGTCAGATAATCGAGGCTCTACTGTATTTACAAACACCAAAGCCAAAGTTTGTCTTTCCTGTTCAACATATGAACTCACGTTATTTCACACTCACATCTATTTTTTTTTCTTCACGTCGTGTTTATCTAACAAAATTCCTTTCTCAAGTGGAAAAGTTTTAAACAAACTTTTAATGAGGGTTCAGATTTCGCCTGGAACCTCACATATATTTTTATTAAGGTTTAATGTTTTTAGACTTTTGTAGTGTATGTGGTATAAATTTTATGTGCATTTTCTAATTATGCCTGTGAAGTATATTTGTAGTATATTACCTGGGTGTTTAATAATCTGTAGAAACATCCAACAATCGCCTAAATGATTGGGCTACAATTGCAGTAATTTTAAATAATTAATACAAAGTAATTTACTACTACATTAGGCACCATCTCTTATTAACTAAATTGATAATTCTAATTTTAATAATTAATTAAATAATTTAGAACCATCTGGAAGAAAAGAACTTGCAGCCTCCACTTGCCATGTAGTGTACTTGCCAGTTGCGCCATCCAGACCCCAAGCAAGCCTTCACTTCCAGACGTATTTAAATTTGGATATAACCTTATGTGGTTAATCACAGCGCTGCTGGGGATGACTCCTACATCCACAGCCTAAGAACTGCACCACAGCACTCAGCCAGCAAACATTTAACCCAGCAAGATATATAGGCTATATATAAAAAAGTATAACAATCTCAAAGCCTGAAGAGTATATAGAAACATCTAACGATTGCCTAAATCATAATTATTAATTTAGTTAAGAGATAGCACCTAACGTCTACCTCTATGACAAATTACTTTGTATTAATTATTAAAAATTAGCACAATTGTACCCTGATCATTTAGGCAATTGTTGGATGTTTCTATATAATCATAAGGCTTTGAGATGTGTTATCTAATAATATAAGCCATTGATCACGCTATTTGTATGTCTGTAATTTGTAACCAGTAACAGAATGCCTAGAACGGCCACTACGGGCATCCCTAGCTATTATTTAAATTAACAATAAATTCATTTGATGGGTTGTGACATTACAGCAACCCATTTGAGAGGGGTTGTGACATTACAACAACCCAAAATGCATATGTATAATCTGTGTAAAATTTATACAATAAAGTCTTAAATCACCAAACTGGAGTTGCTGTGGGAAAAATCAACTAATTTTTGGATTTAAAGTGATTTTACAGATATTTAAATTAATTCATTTTATTTATTTTTAATTTTGGTTGGTTTCTGTTTCAATATAAAACCAGGCGTTTTAAATTTTTAAAATTTAATTATTACTTATAGTTTTAATTAACTGGCAACCTAGTTATGTATAAATACAGACAAATACCCAGTGCACCAATACTCATCTGCCAAAGATGAGCTGGACATGCAAGCTTATCAAGTTCGCTGGCATACAGCATACTAGATGCCATGTTAAAAGAATTTCACTGTCTTATTACTATTATTTGCAGTACTTTCATTAAAAGTATAGTTAAAGCATATTTTGACTTCATTTAGAAAATAAAATTTTCTTTACCAGATTCTCTTCTGTTTTTGTTTCCAAATAGTTGCTGATGTTTCCAATTTTTTGCACTTTCAGCTACTGAAGTATGCTTCTTGACGAAACTATTTGCTCTGCATACCATAAATTCAGTATTTCTAAAGTTAGAAAGAAAGAAATAAAAGTTTTGCTTCAATCAAAAATTGAAATAAAAAGCAATTTCATAAACATTTAAACTATTTGTTTATTTGCTAAATGTTTATATTTTTTATTGAATTTTATATTATTATTAATACATTAAATAATAAAATAAGACTCTATAACCAGTAACTCGTGCGAAGAATGGCTAAGCAATAAGAAACAAGTGCTTTCATAACTCCTGGAGTCTTCCTCAGGTTTTCTTAATTCTAAATAAGCTGGATCTTCCAAATTCATTCGAGAATATAAAATTGAACAGTAAGGTGAAGAGTTTTGAATGAAAGAATTTATGCACATGTGTTTTTTGTGTTATCTTTAAATAAGATCAAACACTAAATATCACTGTCAAGTAAACCACTTGAAGTGTTCTGAGTGTGGGTAGTTACTACCCAATACCCAGAACACCTCAAGTGGTTAGAGATGATCGAGATTTCTAAAGCCTACTCCAACCCCACATGCATTAATTTTAGGGAAGAGATGTCTCTATCAATGATGTGGCAGGCCTTACTTGACAGTGATATTTAGTGTTCAATCTTATTTAAAGATGACATTTGAAATGTATGTGCATAAATTCCTTCATTTCAACTCTTCATCTTATTGTTCGATTTTATATTCAAATTTTATATTCTCAAATGAATTTGGAAGATCCAGCTTATTTAGAATTATGAAAACCTGAGGAAGAACCCAGAAGGGGTCATGAAAACATTTATTTCTTATTGGTTATCCGTACTTTGCACCAGTTATTGGTTGTAGAGAGTTTTATTTTATCGTTATCCTAGTGTCGTATGCAGATGTGTACATAAAATAAATTAAAGTACAAAATACAAAATTTACATCAACTAACCCATGAATGCTGATGAATTCTTCTTGAGTTCCATCATTTGTAATATTGGAATATTCTATAAGAATATAAAAGACTTAGTTATATTTACTTTGAAGCTTTTTATACAATCAAACATAGACAACTTTACTAATTAAATAAATATTTCATTCATTGTCAAAAATTAAACTGATATAACATAAAATTAATATTTAATTCATTAAGAAACAAAGTTGACCTGATAGAAATTAAAATATTAAGTATGTAGATCAGACAGTGATTTATGGTATTATACCGTATATAAAAAATTATAAGAAATCTTAAATTGACAATTAAACAATAGAGATTAGACATAGTCTTCTTAGAGATGTTACAGCACTTTCCAGTTATACCCAAAAGATTTGTGTAGAAATCTGAATTCACCAGTAATCCAAAGTAATTTTAATGTTTGTTGAATTTTAAATCAAGTTTGCTGAGAAATTATACAAGTCTTGCATAATTTCTCTGCAGACTTCAAACTTGCATCAACTGATAGGTATTGGATAGGATAAATTCCATCAAATAAAATGTAAAGAAAAGCTATGAAAGAATTGTTCACCAACAATATATAAATAAATTGACAGCAAAGGTGATTAAGACATCAGCCTAATGCTCTGAAGATCTAGGACTGAACCTCGGTGAACATTTTCCCAGGAATTTTTGTGGCAGTCTGTTCCAAATATGTCAAGCCTTGTGTGTTTCAGATTTTTAAACAGAAATAGAGAAATAAACAAAATATCCAATTTAAGTGAACAAAAAGGATAAAACCTTCAAAAGTGCTTAGCAGTAAAACCAGAGGAAAGGAGAAACTAATAATACACCCTCCAAACAACTGTAAACTTAATAAAAAAATCATTTGGAAAAATTACTCAAAAATATAAAAGAAATTAATTTCTTTTTTACAGATATAAATATAAACATACCTTTATTATTTTCACTTGAAAGTCTTAGTTTCTTTGGCAAAGATTTTTCAACATTTTCACTTGAATATTTTGATTTTTCTAATGTAGCCATATCATCTAATATATTTTGAGGTAATTTCTTAGCTTCCAAATTTAATATTTTCTTTATCTGAAATGATAGAAATATTAATTTTATAACAATTCTGTATTTATTTTTAATTTATATTTTTAGTATGTTTTAATAAGATAGTAAGGGCATGCTGTTGAGATTACAGTACAGAGTACTAGAATTTAAATTTATTTATTGGTTAAGGTTATAAACTCAAAAGTTATATATTAAAGCCAAATTATTGCTGGATTACATCAGGCTTTATTACTATTACTATCAATAATTAAATGCTAATAAATCCCAATATAATCTGGCAATCATTTGATTTTATTGTTTGATAATTTTGTTCAGAATTCTTTTATTTTGAAAATATACATGTATTCAATACCAATAAATTTGCCCATCAAGAATAATGAATTATATGATTTTAGTAAAGATAAATGAAACATGTACGTACAATATTTAATTGAAAGCTTTAGTGTATATGACAAAATTCTTTTAAAAATATTTCTTGTAGCTGTATCATTTTTACCAGCGTTAGTATATATGTAATTTTTGTTTTCATAAAAATTATTATTGGTTGAACTCAATGCAGTTTTAAACAAGTTATCTTGATTAGTATGTTTAATGGTTTGTCCAAAATTCTTGACAGTTGTTTCAGGACATCAACTTAATGAAGAGGGAAGTTCATGATATTTTTGTGAAATATAGGAACTGTTCTACTTTCAGCACCGGGGTGAAATCAATGTTGCACTGTCTGAAACCTGTGACCAGTGCGCTCTACGTGTATATATAGTATATCGCTTGACAAACGTTTTTCGAGCGATCTGTTCGCTCTTCTTCAGGTCAACTGAAAATTCCTGGACGGAGTGTATATTATTTGTTGGGATCGGGTGTCGGTTCCGACTGGGTGGGCCTTTTCTGGCATGCGCGGTTGTGTGATGGGGAGGAAACGGTGAATTGGCGTCTAACAGCAATTGCCAGGCCAGAGACAGGGTTAGCTCTTCCTTCCGGTTAACGTAGGTGGTTAGCCGGCCGGCGTTGTAGATAGCCGCGACCTCCAGCCACCTGAGATGCTGTTAATGGGGCGTGTTGACGATGATAGTAGTGTTCTTGAGTTGCGCTTCGATTTCAGGATCCGATGCATATGTGGCCAGGGCTATGGTTAGCCTCCCGTGTCGGATATCCGCTTGGTGTTCACGCAGGCAGGTGTACACCAAGCGGGAATTTTCAGGGAATTTTCAGTCGACCTGAAGAAGAGCGAACAGATCGCTTGAAAATGTTTGTCAAGCGATATACTATATATACGCGTAGAGCACTGGTCACAAATTCCAGATAGTGTAACGTTGATATTTTTGTGATTATTTCTTTGCTTTTAACAAGTGATTATCATGTTCACTGAACATTCAGTGAACATGATAATCACTTGTTTTTAACAAGCATTGTTTTTAACAAACATTGCTTTTAACAAACGATTATCATGTTCACTGAACATTCAGTGAACATGATAATCGTTTGTTAAAAGCAAAGAAATAATCACTACCNATAATCACTTGTTTTTAACAAGCATTGTTTTTAACAAACATTGCTTTTAACAAACGATTATCATGTTCACTGAACATTCAGTGAACATGATAATCGTTTGTTAAAAGCAAAGAAATAATCACTACCATTGATTTTAAACAGAATAAATTACTCCTTCAAAATCAACAAAAATAAAATCTTTACTGCTTTTAATGATAAGAAAATGTGAGATAATCATAGAACCCAAAAGTTGAAGAGCAAGAACAGAGCAATGTTTCAATGTGTGGAAGAATGGAATAACACTTACTGCACAAATTAGGAGCTTGGGCTAATAAAGGTTTGGCAATGATCAGGAACTCCTCCTTTTTTTAGTGTTCTTAGGAATGAGAAACTATGTTGAAGAAGCAGGAATTTGAGATTCCTATGCAAAATTCAGAGGGAAGCCACTCAGCAAATGTAGACTTGAGCAAAATCTTTAATTGAATAAGAAATGTTTTCATCCTGATCTAAGAAACATCATCTTTTAATTTACACAAAATGGATATAACAAATATAAATGCCATTACTATTTAACTTAAACTCAAATATTTTATAATTTTTACAGTTTGAATGTTATTTAAAACCAAACATGACAAATTCAAACAAAAATGTTTAATCCATTAAAAACTAATTTTAAATAATGTTCAAACAATTAAAAGTTGTAAAATATTTGAATTTAATTTAAAAAGCAACAGTATTTATATTTGTTATCTATGAATTATAAGCTGAAGTTGTACTGGAATCAGGACAAAAACATTTTTTATTCAATGAAAGATTTAGCTTCCTGAAGTAAGCATTTTAATATCAATAATAATATAGTGTCAGAAATACATGAAATAGTATTGTAGTTTATTTGGTTTGGTCAAAAAGAAACTAGAAGTATTTTGCTTGTGCTGGAAAAATAAAATATGGTAGGCATGTAGGAGCAGTTATTAATATTTTGCATACAATAGCAGCACAGAGAAGCAACTTCATAAATTCAACTTCAGAATGGGCTCACACCAATGTGTGAGCCCATTCTGAAGTTGCCCCATATTTTTTTAACTTACCTTTTCACATTACCAATAAGGCACACACTTCCAATAAGGCAAAGGTTCTCAAACTTATTTTGATCACCACTCACTCACTAGATTAAAAAAAATCTAATGCCCCATATTTTTTAACTTACCTTTTCACATTACCATCTGTTGAATATCTTAAAAACAGTTATTGCAAATATAATGTTTAAACATGCATTACTATATAGGATAGGATAGATAGGGTGTGACCCATATCCTATTTCTGAGATCAAAGAATGCTTCAATGAGAAGAAATAAAACTCATATTTAATCACAGTCTTCTACTGCCCCCATGAAAGCCTCCAGTGCCCACAAGGGGGCGTTATTGCCCACTTTGAGAAAGGATGCAATAAGGAATAGCATTAAGTCATTGAATTTCTGAAATTAGGGAAAATTAAACCCAGTGAAATTCATTGTCAATTGGTAGCTGTTTATGACAAAAATGATTTGTCAAAATCACAACTCTTCCAATGGGCCAAGAGGTTTCATGCAGGATGGCAGGAAAACTCAAGGCAGACTGTAGATGGCCATCACCAAAGTTAACAGTGCTACAACAAATGCCTTAATCCACAGTAACTGGTCTATCACTTTCACTGAAGTTGCTGACCATTTGCAAATCAGCCCCATGGCCCAGCATTCTCAATAATGTAAGATGTACAGTACTTAATCTATAGAAATTGGATGATGATGTAGAAAAAAAGGTCATGGAATGGGTTTGCAAGCAGCAAGCCATTTTTATTAGAAGGGAATAAAAATCTTGCAAAGTAGTGAGATATCTGCCTTAACCCTGAAGGGAGGAGTGGACTGGCCAGGACTGGTAATATTAGAAACTGTATATTAAAAGTGCTGTTTGTTGAAATTTACAGGTATTTATTACTTATATCAAATGTAATTGACTATACAAATACTTTTCAGTTTATTTTATTTCACTAAACCTTTCATGAAAATTTTTTTAGAATATTAATAACTGACAAATAGTTAGTAAAGTGAGCCATTGGTTCTGATGTAGCCAGACTCAAAATCAAGTTCCAGTCCAATACTGCCTTGGAGAAATATATTGAAAAATATCAAATGATGTGCCAAAAAACTAATTCTGGATTCGTTTTGATTGAACCAAGTATATTTATGTATATTTCTTCCTTCTTAGGCAAGCCTGTCCTTATGTACAGTAATACCCCAAACTTACGCGATAGGTGGGACCGAGCAGTAACCGCATAAGCCGAATTCACGTAAGTCGGGGTATAATTTCGCATATAAATACATACAAATAATTTTTAATTGGGGCCGGAGACTAAAGAAAACTATAATTTAGAAAAAAATGTTTAATAAAATCTTAGATAATACATATGTATAACAAATTAGGCCTATATTATTTTACAATTTTTCACATTTACTTGATTATTACGCCATAATTTTAACACTGTTTCCATCTCAGCAATAATACCGTGACGTTTACGAATGATGCTTGAATTTAAAGATTGAGCATTTTTCACAGCTTCGAGAATTTTTTCTTTGCCTTTTATAATTGTTCTGACCGACAATTCCGGTAGATAAAACTTTTTTGCCAATTCACAAATTTTCATTTTTGTATCGAAGTCTTTAATAATGGGTACGTTCGTAAAGTCAAACGAGTTAAATGTGTTAGTAACAAATCGTTCGAAAAGTCTAACAAAATAGGAATAACGATGACTTCATTCTCGCTTAACTCGTTCGACTTTACGAACGTACCCAATGTTAACTTTACATTCCAAAGATAAAGTTTTTCTTTTCTTGTTTGATGCAGAAGAATTAGTTCTACTTCGTTTGGATGACATAGTAGAGTCTATCAAGTCTCCGTAGATATAACAAACAGAAATAAATAACACAAAATAAATTGTAGCTATGTGTGGATTCTGCGTGACACATCCGAACATGTAAGCTGAACAATAGTGTGGGGGGAGTGAGTAATCAAGGGTTGCGTGGCACTCAAACAAAAGACGAATCGACGAGATTTGAAAATCGCGTAACTCCGGGTTCGCATAAGTCGGGGTATTACTGTATTTCATATGTTTGAATGATGGGCAGTCTTTGGAAGCTTGTAGAAAATAATGGAATAAGAGCTAATTGAGAAAGAAGAAAGATGGATTTGAGAATGGGGACACAAGGAAAGAAGCTGATTTGAAGAATTGAGTCAATCATCGAAGGACTTGAAGAGCTGTTAATGTGACTCCAAAACATTGGCTGTCATTACAATGAGTAAAAATTTCATGCTCTATTTATGCAAATACTATAGGTTGGGAATATAAGTATGATTCACTTTTAACATGTTTGTGATTTTTAACTTTTATTTGTATACAATTGTTTTTCTTTTTAAGTTGCTTGTAACTTAATTTTACTTTGTACACAATAAAGTTGTCTCAAAAAAAGCTCTTTATTTAATTAGGCTTCTAAAGCATGTTTTAACCATTCATTGCTATTGGGCTGCAATTTGAAAAAATTTGTAAACCTTTGTCATCTGTCCATTTTTCCTTAATTTCAAGAATGGAGTTAGATAGATAAAAGGCAAGACCAGATATGGAAACCTTAGCAGCAGGAGGCCCTGATTAACTATATAAAAAACTTCTGATGCAAACTGAAAGTCATGTTATTTCAATTCAAAAATTTTTCCCATATATTGTTAGATAGATGACAGGGACAACTCTATTTTTAAAGAACAAGTATGATGTACAGGGGCAAGCCACTACTAGTTTGAGGTAGAGAACATATATTTTAAAATAAATATATTAAAAATATGATTAAAAATTGCAGCCCAGTATTGTGACAATGTCACAATAAATAATTGCTAATTTTTTTTTGGATTATCCCCACCAGATAAATAAACACTACTGGCTATTCTGTGAGGGCCTGGACTTGACAAAAAATTTTTTGAAAGGAAAAAAATCACAAAGGATGTGATAGTATCTTTTGTCACGGACTTTCTTCCTTGTCCAGAGATGACACATCTGGATGTGTCACCGGGAACTAATAGAAAGAAATCTCTATTAGACATGGACTTTACAATTTACCAAAAAAGAACATGAATAGTGAGGGAGAACCCCCAGAATAAAAGAACAGGATCAAGGATGTCAGAGAGTTCACTCATCATTGAGAGTTGGTTGACCAGTGTTTGCTCCCGTCTTGGATTTACCCCACTATCAACCATCATTGCAGCCTGGGTCAACATGCCATCTTCCTACCTGCCCTTGAGGATCTCTGAGGAACTACTGAAATGTCTAATATCCAGATGAATCTAGAAGCCATCTATATAATCAAGAAACAAGGAACCAGCTTATCAAGTGTATAACAACTACAGGTATTTATCCTCATATGCACAAGTATAAACTCTCTCTCACGCTCTTAACCTTATATGTGTAAACAAATATATGAATAAACAGATATTTATTGATGTTAACCCGGTAGTTGAGCACACTTCTTTTGGGCACGCTGACTCTCAGACAGTCTCCATCTCAAACCTGACTGCCTACAAATGCAACCACTTGTGCAAAACAAAATTAGTGGCTATTAAGATTTCTGTCTGTCCTTGAAAGACACAGTGGCATCAGAATCCTGACATGGCATCAACAAAGTGGTGCCGACCCTTCAGTCCCATGGTATGGAAACATAGGGGACACTTCCTGCATTGTCACAATTCATTAAGAATTTTCTACAGAGCAGTAACAGAATTTTCCTTTGTCTTACACTCAAAATGAGTTTGGCCAGGCCCACAATGGAGGTGGCTAGATGTTAAGGGTGAAGGACAGAGCCTGACATATCTGAGCCAGACCATCCATTAAAAATTGTTGGGGAGTTGTTCATCCAACTTTGATCCAGGATTACCTATAGAAGTAGAATGATGCAAAGTTAACAATTTCCAAGATTGTTACAAACTTGAGAAAATAATGAGAATTTGCTAAGAAAACTATAACAAAGGAATGAAACATGTTTCTTAAAATATTACCAGATATATCAAGCCCTAATATGATCCAGCTATGTAACCATCCTATTGTAGGCCTGGCCAAATCCATAATGAACTTGAAAAGACAAAGCCTTCTTAGTGTCCAAAATACAAAGAATTTAAAATAATTATTGTTTAAAAATTAATAGGTTCATTAAATTAATATTGACCATAAATAAAAATACCTTTTGCTCTTTTTGCATTAAATTTCTTTCATGGTATTTTCTCCTTAATTTCTTTGTTTGAAATTTCATCTTTCTAACCTCATCTTCTGCATTTTTCATAGAATTTAATGCTTTATTTCGACTACTTTGAAATGATTCTATTTCAGGCGCTGAATCACTGTCATCATCGGATTTATTTATATTTTCTTTATCATGTTCAAGTGTATGTTTTTCATTGGATTTCTTCTTAAAAGTTTTCTGATCATCATGAAATACAGAGTGAGATATCATTTTTTTTTATGACAGTATTGAAGATGTAGTGAGTGCTCCGTGACTAGAAATATAGTTCTCTGAATAGGGTACTTCCATATCGTGGCTGTGATTGGCTGCGCGAACTGCCCCTTGGGTATGGGAAGAACCCGGATGGAGGGAATATATAAAATGGAGCACGTCCACGTGGAAAGGACCTTTTTTTTTTTTTTGTTCTTCTGTCGTCCTGAGATTAAGAGCGGTGATACTTACGGTGACCATATTTTTTTTGGGGGGGAAATAAAGGACATATCGAAGAAAATAAAAAACTCTTATAAAATTCATAAGTTTATAACATTTATTACAGTTATGTCACACAGAGCCATAACTAGCCATTCCTGTGCCCTGTGCCAGAATTTGCATTTAGGCCCCTTAATTTATTTGGTTTTGGGAAAATAATAAATCAAATACATTACAATAGATTTTTATTTTAACTTTTTTTTTCGTTTATTAATTTAATTTAAGAAATCCCTTTTCTATACTTTTTGGTTTGTTTTAAGAATATGATCAATACAGGTAACCCCAGTATAACACGGCACTTCTATAGCACGGATTCACTCTGACACGATTCGAGAATTGGGTAAAATCTTCGTACAACATGAAATGTAATAAATTTTTACATACTTAAGTACAGTACTAATAGTTCACGAAAATAATAATTTTCGTGAACTGGTAGTACTTCAGTATGTAAATTTTCTTTTCTTGCATTTTGTCCATACACATGGTCCTTCTCGAAACTTGTTTCAATTTTGCCAGATCTCGACGCTTCTGCTTCTTGTTGCCAGATGTTTTTTCCTTATTCCATAAGTGCTTAGCACCATATAAGGAAAGTAATAAAGATCTTTTAACTAGAAGCAAGCAATCTAAAATTGCATACTTTTTGCAAAAGGTAAAGCATGAATCTGAAGATAATGCAGAAAAATGCTCAGAGGATAACGATAACTTGCCAAAAATAAAACGCTCTTGGTTAATTAATAGTGCTTTTAATGATGACGAAGAAAACATTGTTTAATTTATATTAATATGTATCAATTAAAAAATTTTAATAAAGATATTTATCTTCTAACGTTCCAAAAAATTGCAGTGTTATACGAAACAAAGAACTAGTACGAAAAGGAGGGTTAGGTTCCAAAAATTAAAAAAAAAAACATGCTGTTAAATCCTTATTTAAATCGGATTTATTATTCATTTTTTTTCATAGGTAAAATACTTATTTATTATTTAAGTAAATATTTTACCAG